TATATATATATATATATCATGTTGAGATAAAGAAGTTTAAAATTTTTAATCTCCTTATAATATTTTTGAAACTTTAGTAGTATAAAATATTTACCATCTAATAGATCTTCTTTACCCAGATAAATAACGCAAAGAATTATTTAAAGGAGATCTCTATAGTTTGAATGGTTGATCTTAGAATCATATTTTTAAACGTTTCTTTTTTAAAATAAAAATACTTAGAATATTGATGTGCGCGCGCGCGCGTGCGCGTGTGTGTGTGTAAGGAGATAGAAGAAAAGAGAATGCCAATTGTGCTAAAATTTTCTATCTACGATAACAGTGATTGTTAAAATACCGATAAATTATTCGAATTTTGTGAATTTCATTTGAAGATATGTTTTTGAGATTATATAAAGAATAATTGTAAAAAGAAAGAAAATCGATTTTTTCCGATACTCTAAACTTAGAAAACCCTTAAGAGATTATAATGTCTTGAAATGTTAATAGAATACAAGTATTGCATTGTATCGAATATTCTCAAATATGTAGGCTCTTTCGCGTTGACTCGATAAATCCCATGAAGATAAATCAGTCTCAACGACAAGACTTCATGTGAGTATTAAGGACAGTTCGTGTGATGAAACCCTTATTGCACCGTGGACAAACGTACGGTCGTTCACCCGTGTGGTATCGCTTGTGAACAACCAGAGTAGATCTCTGCGTAAAGGCTTTGCCGCATTGGTCACACGAATACTTCCGTTCTCCAGTGTGAGTGACATTGTGGGTTCTCAGCATAGTGTCACAGGCGAAACATTTACCACACACTTCGCAGGTATACGGTTTTTCACCGGTGTGCGATCTATTGTGAATTTCGAGGCCCTTCGCGGTCTTCAGCTCCTTGCCGCATAATGCGCAAAGGTACTTGCGTCTCTCGTAATTTGATGGATCACCATGAGTCCTGACCTTGTGTTGCTTCAGCAGCGACCTATACTTGTAAATCTTGCCGCAAACGTCGCATTTGTGTTCGGACTCGTTCTCGCTAGATTCGTCTAACTTCTCGTCCGATGCAGGATCATAATGATAGAGACGATTGTGCTCCTTCAAGCTGTACAACATGCTCTTTTATCAAATACATATCAATGTCATCTCGATATCGTGTAATTGATTTAAAAAATTATAATAGTACTTTTAATCTCAAAAGGAAAACGAAGAAGCTTTATACTTTATTTAGTCAGAATTAAACTTCCTCCGAATATAAAGAGTTTAGAAAAATTTAAACACATAGAAATTTCGTTTGAAAAACGATATAAATAAATTCAGCAATAACAGCGGTTATAATTAAGAAGATATACCTGTACACATCGTTGAAGATGCTGTCGCAGGCATTGCATCGCTGCACGAGATCGTGCGTCGCCGTATGCGCGATCAGAGCGTCTTTGTCGACAAAATCCTCGCTGCAAATTTCGCACGTGAATTCCGGGACTCGGTGACGTCGCCGTTTGTGTTTTTCCACATCGGTCACGCTGACACCCATAAAGCTACACTGAGTGCACGGCACAGTCTTAGGCGTGTGCGATTTCTTCACGTGAGCATTAAGCATGAACTGCTGAGGATAATTCTTCCCACAGGTGACACATTCGAAAGGACGATGGATGCCGTGCGCTATCCTCAGATGAGCAACCAGTCTGGTAACGAAGTGAAATTTTGCCTGGCATAAATCACAGATCTTCTCACCATCTTCAAATCTGCAATCAAAACAGCAAGCGTTTAAATAATTATAAACAGAGCTTATTGTTAAATCAACAATTTACTTACTAAAATAAATTACATCAGATCTATATATATATATATAGATATATATAATTATTTTTTCTGACACGAATAGTTGTCAAGTAGAACTTACATAATTCGAATTAATAAACAATAAGAAAGTTAGACTTTATTTCTTATAGGTCTATAAGATAGACTTTATTTCTTGCTGGTCCAATTAATAAATTAAGAAATGAATATTCACAAAGATATTTCATTAAAATATCAGAATTTCCAATTAAGACAAAAAAATTTTGAAATAAATTAAAATAAATAAAAATTAAAAACCTATTCTTTTGCGCGCATCATATTAAATTTAATTTCTAAATTAAATTTAGTTTTAACATTTATTAGCTATATTTTTACAATAGCACTGAAGAAAAGAGTTAATTCTAATTTTTTTATTCAAAATTTAAATCTATTATTATTTCTTACATTTTCAGGCGGGAACTATAACTGAGTTCTTGAAAATAAATTTTAAAATAAAATTTTAAACTTCTGCGATATTTGTAAATTGATTATTTTCTGTAAATATGAAATGCAAGCAAGAGATATGTAGATATTAACATACATTATATGCAACTCACTTCTGTCCAAGATCAAGCAAGTTCCCGTTCTTCATCTTCAAATCGTGATTATTCGTCCACTGGCTGCAATGATCGATATATATTTACGTAAAGCGTTGTAGAAATGTAACTGTAATTCTACTAACATTCATTCGTTACCTATAAAATCGATGTTTATGTAAAATACGTTTCCGCAGCTGAAAAGAATTCAACAGAGATCGTAGAAAACTACAAGTGACGAATAAAATTCAACCGCAAATTTTGGAAACATTTAATATCATTTCTCATTCCTAGAAATACAAAATTACTGTCAAATTCAATTTTACAATTACTTACGGTAAAATGGTAATTAATAACAAAATATACAAACGCTTTAAATTGCTGTTACTTACTTTTCAGTTTTTTTAAATTATTATGGATCAAAACATATATCTATTCAGAAGTTTATAGAAGTCCAAAGTATAAGTGTTTTACTAAATTTTTCGGTTGTTAATTGTCGAGAATCTCAGCCATTTTGTAAAAAAATAACAGTCCCATCGAAAATTTTGTTCAATGAATATCCTATTATATATATATATATA